GGGGGGGCGGAGGGAGAAATCTGTTGCGGTCGTAAGTCGAGGACGCCCTGCATCAGCAGGTGCATTCAGCTCAGTCCTGTTTGGATTGGTTCCATTGTCTCCCTCCCTCCCCCGCCCTTGGAGAAGCGCATGCGTCCATGCTGCCCGCCGGCTTTTCCTCTTTGCAGCAGCCGGCTTTGGTTCCCCCACCCTCTCTCCCTCCCGTGTCACGTGACGGGCGGGAACGACATGGCGGCCTCGCTCGCGCGTCGCAGCCCGATGACGTCATGTCCGGGCGCTGGGGGCGAGAGGCGGGGCCGCGGGGGGTCGACGGCGATGGGGCTCGCTGAGGAGGAAGAAGCGGGCGGACGGCGGCTTCGCGGCTGCTGACCCTCCGTGGGGAAGCGAGCGGGGGCGGGGAGGCCTGCGGTCCCGACAGGGCTGGGAGCAGCGGCGGGTAAGGGCGGACCGTGAAGGGGAACAGGCCTCTTTCTAGGCCCGACTGAGGGAGTGGGGGGGGGGGAGCGACCCTCAGCGGCCTCCTCCGCCGACCGTCTGCCTAGGCGGGCCTGGCCGACTTGTGGAAGAGGCCCGAGACCGGAATGCCGCCTTGTCCCGTTTCGAAAATACCCCTGGAAGGCCTCGAGGTCGAAAGTGGGGCCGAGAAGGGCTGTGGGGGGGTGGGGGGGGGCAGAACGGAATCCCTCTCCCCTTAAAATAAAGAATGATAGTGATTTATTGGGTCGTTGGATGGGGCAGAAGTTATGAGGGACCTCCATCTCGGCTGGGGTGGCCGAGTCCCCGCTGAAGGGCTTTTGCCCGAAGGGTCTAAAACACGGACGTCCAGGCCTGAATGGGGACGAGCTCAGTAGGGTGGGTGGCGGTTGGGATGGGATGGGAGACCACGGAGAGATCCCGGGGAGACGGCTTGGATGGGGAGTTAGAAAGGCTGCTCTCGCTTTTCATGGAAAGTTGCTCGAAGGATGCTTTTTTGGGGGGGGGTATCAGAGTCCCTTAGATGGGAGGGTGGATTTTTTGATTCTAAATAAAACCTAGAGGTAAGGCAGACACCGTGGCTCAGTGGCTAAGATGCTGTGCTTGCCGATCAGCAAGGTCCGCGGTTCGAATCCCTAGCGTCGCGTAACTAGAGTGAGCTCCCATTACTTGTCCCAGCTTCTGCAACCTAGCAGTTCGAAAGCATGTAAAAATGTGAGTAGAAAAATAGGAACCACCTTTGGTGGGAAGGTAACTGTTTTGTGCGCCTTCGGCATTTAGTCATGCCGGCTACATGACCACGGAGACGTCTTCGGATAGCGCTGGCTCTTCGGCTTTGAACGGAGATGAGCACTGCCCCCTAGAGTCAGGAACAACTAGCACATATATGCACGGGGAACCATTACCTTTAAGGCAAAGTAGGGAAAGTATTCCTGGAAGAAATCGCTAACCTCCTTCACGTTTCATGGTTGTATAGACCGTAGTGTCACACGAAAGTGACTTAAAATCTTGTCAGATCAGCGAATTTCCCTTTCCTTAACCCCCTCTCATTATGTTGAATTTTAACAGTATGAATTAGTCTGCAGGTAGCCCTCGACTTACGACCACAATTGAGTCCCAAATTTCTGCTGCTAAGTGAGGCAGGTCTTAAGTGGATTTTGTTCCATTTTACAACTTCTATATAGTTGTTGAGTGAATCACTGCAGTTTTTAAGTTAGTGACAAAGTTGTTAAGTGAATATGGCTTCCCCCTAGATTTTGCTTATCAGAAAGTTGATCGCATAACTCCAGGACACTGCAACCATCATAAATATGAGTCAGTTGTCAAGCATCTGCATTGTGATCACGCGGGGAAGCTGCAATGGTTGTAGGTGTGAAAAAGGGACAAAACTCATTTTTTTCAGTATCATAACTTCAAACGGTCAATAAGTAAACCATTGTAAGTCGAGGACGACCTGTATTCAGCCCATAGGAAAATCTCTTTGTCCTGGAGTATGTTGATGGTCTATTAAATTACAGCAACATGACATATGCTTCAATTTCATTATTGGCTTGATATGACATTTATATTTGATATAGGTGTAGTGACCTATAGGTTGGGGACCTGTTTGGAAATTCATAATTGAAATGAACCCAACAGAATTACTCCACAGATGAAAATCAACACAGGGACACGAATCAATTAGATTGGCCGCAATCTGAGAATTCTCTGTACTGTAGGTGTTAATCTGGGATAAATCCTGTTTGAATTCATAACATTTTTCAGTAATAGGCAGTCCCCCTTGTTTCCTATATCTACGCTAATGCTGTTTTCTTTAATCAACCGATAAACATGAATATGGCATTATGGTTGTAAATGAACAATCATAAAGTTAACAAGCAGTATTAGTTGAGCCACCATACATCTTTCATTTTTTGGGTGCTCATATTGCATCATAATGCAATTTTTGGTTTTATGTTAGCATGCCATGGAAATGCGGTTATTGGATTTGTGACATTTTGTGTATGCATGGACACATTTGAAAGTTTTCTTTAATTCCAGGAATTTTTTTTCTCTTTCTTTGGGTAGCAAACAAGAAGGATAAATTGAAGATTATCAAAATGAGCAGGAAGCCTCCACATCGTCCCGGGATCACATTTGAAATTGGTGCTCGCCTGGAAGCTCTGGATTATCTACAAAAATGGTATGAAGCCTGATTACAGCTGAGCCTCAATTTATGACCACATTTGAGCCCAAAATTTATGTTGCTAAGAGACATTTGCTAAGTGAATTCTGCCCCATTTTATGACCTCTCTTGCCACAGTTGTTAAGTGAATCACAGCAGGTGTTCAATTAGTCACACTGTTGTTAAGTGAATCTGGCTTCCCCATTGACTTTGGTTGTCAGAGGTTCACAAAAGGTGATCACATGACCCCAGGACACTGCAACTGACATAAATACATGCCAGTTGCCAAGCCTCTGAATTTTGATCCTGTAGGGATGCTGCAACAGTTGTAAGCATGGAAAACTATAATAAGTCACTTTTTTCAGTGCTGTTGTAACTTCAAACGGTTACTAAATGAACTGTTGTAAATCGAGTACTACTTGTATATTGCTGGCTTAGTAGAGGACATCTTCATATGATGCATGATAGCTCCACGCCAGTACATTGAAATAGTTTCTAAAAATACTTAAAAAGCTTAGCAGTTAAAAGACCTTGTCCAAAAAATAACTTTTTAAAATTGAGAAATATCACTTTGATACACAAAAAAGAAAAAAGAAAATGAACAAAACGAGAGTAGAAAAATACAAGAAACAATATATTCCAAGAAAAGAATGTAGTGATTAAGGCATGAGGCTAGGAACCAGGCAACAGTGATTTCTAACCGTCTTAAGTCTGAAAACCATCAGGGTAACTTTTCTCAGCCAAACTCATCTCTCAGTTTTTGTTGTGGGGAAAGTAGGAAGAAGAAGAAGGTGTATCAGATATGTTTGCAACCTTGAGTTATTTATAAAAATAATAAAGGTGGGATTAAAAAGAAATAAAATGAAAATAAAGAATGTAATTAAGCTGAATTTTTAAATACGTTGTGAAACCTTGACTGTGTAGTAATGCAGCCTTTATTACAAGAGTTGAGTCAATTCATAAACAGAATATGAATTTACAAGATTATAAATCTTTTTAACATTGAAAAGTACAATTTATTGCTATGCCCCCATGCTTTACATACATCTTTAAATGATATCAATGATATCATATGAACAAATTTACAAAATTTAAATCTAAATATGGGAATAGACAGTAGCCTATATCAGATGAGTAATTTATTCCCTTCCCCATTGTATGCTTCCAACATACTGAGCTGACATACTCACTTTTTAAGCATTCTCCAGGGCATCCAATTAATATTAAATTGTTTTGTTGAATATGCCATCTTATAATCATAAGAAGCGGACTTAACATTTTTTAGGATTCTTAACATTTTCTTCATTTAATACATGATAATCCAATTCTTTGCTCTAGTGTTCTGGCAAATAACTGACATGGCTTCTGTCAGTCTTTTTGAAACAACGTTTAACCAGGTAACTTGTGAATGGCTTTCATGGTCAGCAAGCTCTGTATCACTGAGTAAGTCTCACTGAAAGAGATTTGAAACATTTTATTTAAAAAGGCATTTTAGATCTCCAGCAGTAACAGGTAATCCTCAATTTACAATCGGTTGAAATTAAAGCAGACCACACAAAAAAATTATAAGATGGATTCAGCATTCCAATGGCCAAGCCCCTTCCAATCACCTAATAGTATTTTGGTTACTTAGCAACTGGCTCACATTTATGACCATTTGCAGGATCCCGCAATCGTGTCTTGATTTAAACCTTCTTTTTTTTTGCTGGAAACTGGCATTCATTTCTTTTTTCCAGCAAAAAAAAAAAAACACCCTTTGGGGACAATGGGTTCCCTTAACGACTGCTGTGTTTGCTTTATAACCTCTTTAAAGAGGTAGTAAAATTGGACATGGTCATGTGATGACCTGCCTAATGACATGAACCTAATTCCAAGTTCAGTTACAGTCATAAGTTGAGGAATGCCTGTATTGAAGTAAAGAATTCAGCAAACACCATAAACCACTTTCAATATAACTAGTTAAGTCTGGAAGCTGTTCCTGTTTCTGTATGTAGACATAGACAGGCAGACAGATGTAATCACACAGAAAACATTCAGTAACTACAGTCGATTTTGTATTACATAACCAAGAATGAAATTTCTAACTTAATGAGTCAGAACCATACACATTACTGTGGGTAGCCTTAACAGAACACACAATGTTATCTGAATGGATCTCCTGCCCGATACAAGACCAGCCCCAATACTTTTTACTTTTCAAAAAATAGTGAAAAACTGGCTTTTTCTCTAGGTGGTTGGGTCAGGGAGAGGCTCTTGTGACTATTTTAATTATCCTGTTTTGTTTCCAATTTTAAGGACTGAGTTAGTATTATTTTAATGAAATATGGCATGTGTTCTTAATGTTCATTTGTGTTGCACACTGCCTAGGGTCACATTTCTTTTGTTGGGCTTATAAATGCTTGAAATAAATAAATAGTTGCAAGTATTTCACTTGAAAGACTCATAATGTACCAGGTGCTTCATTTTCCTCCCATTATCTGTGTTTTGTATGATTCTGTTGATTAATTTGCTTCAGATGCATAGTGGGAATAAATTTCTTTTTAAAAAACCTTTATATTGTAATAGTGTTATATAATTTTGATGCAGATGGTCTTAAAAGTTTTTGTGCTTAAAAGTTTTTTAAATTTCTTCCTCAGTTTTTCTTCCTTTTTTAAAAAAAATCATGAACTTTGCACATGACGGTTATCTGTGATTCCTAGACATCCACTGATTCACAGAATATCTTTTTATAAGGGGAAAAAGTCATTTGTTTTGAAAAAAACAACGGATCCTTTCATAATGCCACATTTAAATACAATTTAGAGAAAATAGGTTGGTACTTGTAATACCTTTATTCAGGCATGATCCAAGATAGACCAGTGAGTGGGCAGCATGCAAATAACTATCATAAATACATGAAATAGTACCTATATTACACTAATTAAGGATTGTAATATGAGAACATAAATTGGTAGAATAGGAATAAGAATAGAATAGAATAGAAAAAGGAATAGAATAGAATAGAATCAGAGATGGAAGAGACCTTTGAGGTCTTCTAGTCCAATCTTTGAGACCAAATCTGATTTGGATCAGGAAAAATATAGTCTTTGTAAGGTATATAAAAGTCACCAATGGACACCCAAATTAAGAGATTCTTCTCCTCTGGAAATACATAAGTTTCTTGTATTTTTTCCTCATTTTACTGACTTCGGAAGGATGAAAGGCTGAGTCAACCTTGAGCCAGTCAGGATCGAACTCCTGGCAGTCGGCAGAATTAGCCTGCCATACTGCATTCTAACCCCTCTGCCACCACGATTCTAAAGGCAAGGGCCAGTTGTAAGTCCCTTTTTTTAGTGCCATTGTAACTGCACGTTTGCTAAACAAATGGTTCTCACTTAAGGAATATGATCAATACTACGAAGAGGAGTTATGAGTCAGTCTCATCAAACTTATTTAAGAGTTCTGCCAATTCTTTTCCTCTCCTTTGGGCAAGTAC